ATTATTTTTGTTAAATATCAATATTTTATTAAAGACAAATTTAGAAAATGAAGAGTACTCTAACCATTACAATTTTATAAAAAATTAACAATACATGTCAAAAGATTATTAATTCAATTCATATATACAAAAGATTTTTTCAGAGACTCTGCTGTAAGTTAATCTTAAGAATGATATTTAATAAAATTAAATATTTTACTAATATTTAATATATTATTATTGTAGAAAATATTATTTCAATAAAGTTAAATTGTTTATATTATTACAAATCATACAATTATAACTCTCTTTTGTTTTTTTTTTCTACATTGAATTACAAATATGTTTAGTAATGTCTAGTACAAATTTTTCAAATAAGCATAAACTAACATTAAACTATTCAAACACCATATATCACAGTTTCATAAAGATATTGCAATAAAAAAAAAGATGTAATATGTTTTTATTTTCAATATTAAACAACACATAAACTTTCGAGAGAATTGTCAATCTACGCTTGATTAAGTTCTTCTGCATTGTGACTACATTAAGTAATAGACACCAAATAAATATTATTACTTTTTTTAGTACATTGAACTTCTAAATTTTGTATAAAATTTGCATTAAACCTAATTCCAAATGCAACCTTCCAAATATTGTTTTTGTTAATCGCTACAAAACGACAATTTACGATTATGCGGTTTAATGAGTTATTAGTGAAATTAGAATATAATAAATATTAATTTGTTATAAATTTGGTTTAATGATTATGCGGTTTTTCCGTTCTTTACGCTGCCCCTTTTTTCGAATCTCCCTTTCCAATTTCACTTAGAGGTAATAAATAATTTTTTATTATTTCTTTTATACTATTTTTAACTTAAACTTATTTTTTATACAAACATAAAGCTTAGAAAAACAGAAAACACAAGAATAACTTTAAATTAATTTAAAACCCTAGACCTATAAATACATTAAAAAAATAACTTTGAGTGAAAATCATAAAAAGATAAATATTATAATTCTGAAAGTATGTAATTGTACAGTGTAATTAATTTTATGATTAAAATTATATATACAAGCAAAAGTTCGGTTTAAATTGAATTTAAAAATTTGATCTAAAATCTAATATAATCCATCAAAATATTTTTAATTTTTACTATTTTTAGTTAATTCGATATTCGACCTTTGAATTTAATTTCTGCAATCTGCGTTAAATTGATCGCAGCCAAAATCAGTAAATCACTATGATACCTCTAAGCATAGATTTATCCCTTACTTTACTATAAAGGAAGGAACAATTGGAAATTTGATAATTCCGCGCGTGTGTGTGTGTGTGAAATAAGTGCTTTTCTCATATATCTTCTCATAGACCAAAAATGTAATCAATAGTTGCCCAAACAATAAAAATGCAACCATTAATAGTATGATTAATAGTATATTTAAATTAATAGTATGATTAAATTAATGGATACTATTAAAATCAGCGTGGAATAAATATAAAAATTAAAATATATCTCGTCATAAAAAAAATATAATTACCTATAAATAATCTCTCTCACAAATTACTTATTTATAACCAAATATATCCGTCAATTTGATAGCGTGATTGTCTATCTTTTATATACTTGTTTTTAAGCTGGAATTTTGAACGAAAGTTCTGTGCACTTTAAAAAAACACAAGTCTACGTTCTGCAATTAAGTATTAGGTATATGACAAGGAAACTTCGAAATGATTAATGAGAATATAGTAATATAGTAGCTCTTCAGTTACATATTAGAATAATAATAGTCTCTGGTTTCATACTTGTCGCAAATCTTAAAACCTAAATAACTCCGTTAAAAAAATAATGATAAAAATAAAACTTAACAACCATTCTCGAGCTGCTTACCAATACTCTATAATTAGGAGTCGCTACAGTATTCATATATATATATAAATTGTGTAAGCTTAAAAGAATAAAGCATTTCATTGTTAACAATAAAAAAATAGTAAAAATAAAATTAAAATATTATGAAAATTTAAATCTGAAAAAAGCACATTCAATATGTAAAAATAAATTATTTTAATATTTTCCATTATATTTTGATAAAAAAAATATAAAAAGTTATAAATGATTTTAAAAAATATTTGTTATATTTAAAACACAAAAACCTTTTAATTTTTACCTTTAAAATAATTTAAAATATTTTTTATAATATATTTAATATTTACATAGGTTCTAATCTAAACTTTTGCTGTCTAAATGCTAATGTAATAAAAGTTGAGAAATATAAATATTACTTGAAATGCATAGTGCGATTCCCAATCATGTTATTTCCTATTTATTATTTTACTTTCTCTTTGTTTGGACTCGAACAAATTATTGTAGGGTACAAAACCATGTAGTCACCGTCACTCAAATTTGAACATGTATTTGTTAAAAATACATGTGTAGCTTTTTTTATTGATCAAGACCTTTTTATAATTATTTTTATATATGAGTTTATTTTTTATTTAAAAAAGTGAATTATTTTTTATTTCAACTCATATCAGCATCAAATTTTTTATTATATTCTGAATCGATTTCATATCTTTTTATTTTCTTTCATCTCTATTTCATTTCTTACTCAGCAGAGCGTTAATGTTCCCAAGTGAATCCTCCTTAGACACCGAAAGGATTTTATTTTCCTGCTTACGTTAAGAGCTGTGGTTGAAAATTATATTTTTCAAATTATGTATACAAGTGCTAATATTATTTTATAAATAATTTTTTTTCTTAATTTTACACTTTATTTTATCAATATTTTTAATCTATGTAAAAATTACTTATAATAAAAATTTACATATAATGTTTTTTTATTAAAAATAATAGAATTTAATAATGTATTAATGATATTAAATGTTATAGTTTTTACTAAAATTTATTATTTATTAATTTCTATGAGTAACTTTACATATGTTCAAAAAATATATTATATATTATTAATACCGGTATTTTGTGAGGGTCTTGTCCGCAGCTTTCTGTGTTCGAAACCAATTGAGAGATCTACTAAAGATTAAAGAATGTTTGAAAAGAATAAAATATTTCTTTTGCTCTTTTTTAAGTTATTTTAATTTTAGAAGAATATATATTAATATATGAAAGAAAAGTATATATTTATGAAGTATCAAATTAATTCATCATATTTAAATTATGATTAATTTTAAAGAATAAATTAGACAATTTTAATAAAATTTCATTATTGAGTAAAAAAACTGATAAACTTATTAGAGAGTAGGTTAGATGAGATTTTTCTTTTTGTTATTAAAGTTAGATGAGATTTAATTTATACTCAGGGCCGTAGATTAGGGCCAGCTGGTCCTCTGCACATGGCTTTCAAGTTACTAGGGTCTCCAAATATATAAGTTGATCAAAATTGTTTTACTTTTTTTTTTTTTCTAATTACTACAAAGTAATTTTGAATGTCTGACTACCACGTATTTTTTTCTATCTCCACATTTAGTCTTCTTAAAAATTCATGCCTTAATCAATTCTTAAAATTAACTCTCCAAGTTTCTATCTTTTAAGATATTTTTAATAATTCTATTTATAATTCTCATTCAATTATAGATAATTTCTTAACTTTCCGTTTAGATCTCATTATCAAAAGTAATAAAGTAGTTTGATTTTTTTTGCACTTTATTTTGTAAAATATAATCTTATTATAATATTTTAAAATATTAAAAATGTAGCTTTATTTTATTTAAAAAATTAAAAATAAAAGAGTCTAATTTTCACGATTAGAACATAATCTTCAAAAAGTTTAAGATGGCCCGTCTATACTAACTGTCAAAGTTAAGTGAATTTAAAAAATAAATTAAATATTTATTCTTTTAAAGATATAAGTATCATTATTACTGTAGTCCTTTGGAAAAACAATTTTACCATCAATTTTATCTGTTTATTACTATCATATAGTCATTTTTCTGCCGGATTGAGAGAAATGAGTATAGTGAGACCTTAACTTAATAGAATTAATTTGAGGACAAAATGAGAAATTAAATTAATAATCTTAATAAGTTTATATAAAAGAAATATTGAACGACTAAAATAATAACAATTTATTTGACTAAAGTAATATAATTTTATTTAAATCACTTAGGAATATTTGATAATGGTGAGAATAAGAATAGTAAAAATATATCATTAGATTTTAATAACAATTAAATAAAAAAATATAGTTTTGATTCAAGCAAAATCTCAGTGTAGTGAAAATAAACTACGTAGCATTTTTCCATTAAGTAGAAAAAAACAAACAAGGAAATTTTTAAAACTGGACAGCGGTTGTTAACCTGGGAGCATGTATCCACGGAATAAAAAAGACCATGGTTTGAATTTTCCACGAAAGCGAACGGTACTTCTTTATTGTAGAGTACCTTAATTGTACTTAATTAATAATATTTTATTGCGTTATAAAAATTTACTTATCTGTATAATAAATTTATTTTATATATTTTAAAATGTTATTTTTGAAATTCTCTCTATCACATTAACTATTTTATTTTACTTTCTTTTTTACTTTATTACATAACATTTTACATAAAATTTGTGTACCCCTACAAACTCTTAAAAAAAAAAAAAACATTATGGTGCTTCTCTAAATAAACAGAAATTCAAGGAGAAAATTTGTAATCCAGTTGGATTTCAAATCAAGTTTAGATTACAATAATATTTTGAATACTTATATTTTTCTTATATTTATTCTATATTTTTTTTCTCTTATGTTTGTATGACATTATTCACCATACTTTTTTTTTTTTAATTTCTTCCTCATATTTTACACTTCATTTTAAAAATGTGAACATATCATTCTCCTAATATTTTGCAACACTAAATAAGACATTTATAAATACCATCTTGATATTAAGGTATATTTGTAATAAGTATGTATACAATAAATATAAATAAAAAATAATAAACAACATTACACGCAATTCTAATGTTTAATAATTCAAATAACTTATCATATAAACTATATCCACGAGTCGTGGACCCAATGCACTCACACACATTAAATACAGTACTCCTCTCTTCTCAACCCCCACCACCCCATCCGCACTCAAACACACGCATAACATACAAACAAATATGTTTAACCCATGCCGTCACAAAACCTCACACCCCCTCCAACTTTTCTCAGTAAAATCAGCACCATCGCTACATTCATCTTCAGCCTTAAGCCCCATGAAAATCAAGAACCTTATCCACACCCTCATAGTTTCCCACATCTGCCGAATCATTCGAGCACTGTCCAAAGTCAAAGCCATTATCGTTGAAACTCTCAAGGGAAACCAACCCAACATTGACTTCCTTTACCCTTCTCACAAAAAGCATCGCAGAAACAAAATCAGCAAGAAAATCATCTTTGGTTCCTTCAGGCTTCACTATAACTGGTGCTCTTCAAGATCTTCTCACGTTCTCCCAGTTCCTTCTAGAGTCTTTGAAGGGTTGAGCAAAGCTAGTGGTACCCATTTGTACTATGAGCCAGATTGGAACAGTAGTAGTGTTATTCATGATCAAGGTGAGAAATTACAAGGTTGCGAGGATTGTCATGATGACTCGCAGCTTGTTGGGTACTTGCAGTGGCTTGAGGAAGAGAATAAGGTTCATGATGATGGTGGTGATAAGGGTGTCGCAAATGAGATTAACGAGATTGATGTGTTGGCAGAAAAGTTCATAGCCAATTGCCATGAGAAGTTCAGGTTGGAAAAGCAAGAGTCTGATAGGAGATTTCATGACATGTTGGCTAGGGGCATGTGAATTGTGAAACAACGTTAATTAATTAACCAAGGTGTTTGTTACTTTGTTTGGTGTTTCTGTTACAAACTGCAAGTTTAGTCACTTAATTAATTAGTTAGCTTGGGGAAAAGGTTATTGTATGTATATCCATTAGGGGTATTGAGGGCTAGCTAGCTTTAGCTTTGTAATTAATTCATGGTTATTTATATTTTCCTTTTCATTTTAACTTCTTTTGGATAGATGGAAAGGACTAAGGAGTGGGGTGAGGGAAGTGTTTGAAGAATTCTACGAGATAGGGAATTGTTCAATGCTTCTGTTTATAGTCATGGTGGTTTTACTTTGCCGTTGGCTTGTTAAGATGGAATGGAACTAGTGCAGCTTCAAACTCTCTCTCTCTCTCTCTCTCTCAGCAGTGTAGTCCGTTAAAACTTGCGACATCTGCTTACCAGCAATTTGCATATAAAAATTGTAGAAATTAATTATTTTTATAACTCCCTGGAAGAAAATGAAATAAACTGCTACAAAACTATACATAATTAATTAGGATGAGATTGAATATATACGAGGAAAATTAGTTACTTCAGTTTAAATTAACTCTGATAACTTTATATAAAATTATATAATTTTAATTGGTTCAACGTTAAATTATAAAATTTGCTAGATCTGCTTAACAGCAATTTTCATATAAGAAAATTGCAGAAATGAATTGTTACAGTTTCCCTGAAAGAACATGAAATAAACTGCTACCAAATTCTACATAATTAGGATAAGATGGAATTATATTTATATACGAGGATGAACTCGTTTACAATAATATAAAGTACTCCCTCTCTAATAAATTTGTATAAAATTATATATTTTTTATTAATTCAATCGAAGAATTACAATTATGTATACTATCTATCAATTTTTGTAAGAAATAAATAATAATATAAAATAGTTAAATATTTTTTAATATATTTTAAAAATATATCTTATATGAATTCTAAAATATAGTAATGAAATATTAAATAAAGTTAAATTAATTTAAATTTATAGATCGATGTAATTTATACTAACAAAAATGTTTATTCGACGAAGCAGTTTAACGTACAAAGATAATATAATTTAATAAAACAATTACTCAATGATATTAAAAATGAGCATAACTCTTGCCGATAAAAAGTTATCTTCCGTAGGTCTAGATCCTCTCTAATTACTTTTTTACATTATGAAATTACAGCTATTTAAAATATTTAATTCGTTTTTTAAAATATAGTATAAAGTTAAGTTTAAAAATTATAAATAAATGAGATAAGTTTAATGTATTTTCTCACATCAAATTTTACTGCAGATGATTCAGTTTCATTTTCCTTATATACATATATAATGTAGGTTGATTACTATCAACTCTTATATTTTTATATCATTTTTTACATGCATTCATATATTTTTTTTCTTCTCCTTTTATTCTGCCCATTTTGTACCGAAAAATATATGTCAAAATATATTTTTCATTTTAATATATATATAATGTAGGTAACCATATATTGCATTGGCGTCAAACTGCAATTGTTTTATGACTTAACATCACGTAAAAGTAATGTAACAACACTTTCACCGCAAAGGGATGGAATTGATGAAGACTTGAATCTTGAAACTAAGAGAGAAGTGAAGCAACAAGATAGAGACAACAAGAGGTATTAGGAGTTGCGATAGAGTAGGGGATAATAATTATATAATTTTTATTATAAATTTAAATGAAATTATTGATTGATATGATATGATATAAAATTTTATAAAATAAGTAAGAACAAATATAGTATTGTAAATAAAAGATACATTGACTGTTGCGATAACTTTAAAACTATGTGCAAACATATAAATGTCATGTCTTATTTTGCATCAGACTAACTGCAATTAATGCATGCAATGGCAGCAAGTGCAGCTGCAACCAGAGACACTTTGTAAACATGGGTTATGACAAGAGTTGGTGGCTTATATGGTCATAAATTTAATTGTGGAGATTTTACATTTAAAGCCATATAATGTTCATACGGCTCCATGTCTTCTGGGGACCTAAATATCGTTCTAAATTAGTGGACAGCAACATCTTATCCAGTATTAAAGCAATATTTGGCGCTACTCACTTGTTTGCTATTGTTTGTTTGTGTAGGTTATGGCCAAAATATGAATGGGAGACAAAATTATCACGATACCAATTCGTTAACACATTCATTTACTAGGTTGCCCCTAGCTAGTGCCCATTGTTCTGATTTCATACATCATATAGACCATTGCTTTGTTAATAATTTATATTTGGCAAATACCAGGACACTGGAAATCATAAATAAATACTTTTATTAACTTACATTTTACCATAATTTTTAATACATCCTAATATAATAGTGTGATCCCTCCCCCCCCTTTTCTGGTATAAGACCAATACCTATAAGAACTTGCTTGGCCTCTCCACAAGATACTGGTGGTGCAATTTTCCCATTCTTTTTACTATATATTATGTACTAAGATTTAATAACAAGTGGACTCATTCTGTATATACCCAAGTCACCTGCTCCAATCCTCCTCTGTCCAAGTGTTTGTCTTTGAATTTCTTCAATAAAATTTGATGAAATTTCAACAAGAAAAGCATAACGGAGAGCAGAAATTATTAAGAAGGTACCAAATGTGCTCCCCGTGAAGACTAGTTCTTGGGTTCTTAACCAAGAATCTTAATCTTAACACTGACGCAGATAACAATGTTATTAAAATCCTGGTCCCCGTTAGATAGGTAAATTACATGAATCAACATGCACGCACTTGTCCCACTATTAGACAGCTAGACACATTAGAAACTGGCAAAGATAGTTATAGCGATAGATCCAAGATGTAGTACTTTTTAAACCCAAAACAATGTTCACAAGTAAAATAATACTAATTCAATAAGCTTGTCAGTTATAATTTATTTCTGCAAATGTAATACAATTCAAAGGGTTTTCCTTTCCACTTGATTGTGTTATGTCTATCTGGAATGGTATGTAAGAAAAAGGTCGTAGCCATACTGCATGCAGAGTAGATGTCCATGACAACAGCATAGAGTCATTGATGTCATATGCTGATGAACTTAATCAAATCAAAGTTAAACACTTCATTCAAATTTTATATCAGTAAAATAAATAATGAAATAATTTGTTTTTTCCTTGTGGGTTCCTAAAAATCAGAAATGTAATTTTGGATTTTAGTCATTTCTACAAACTAATTAATAGATTTTATGAAAGTAGATGAGGAATAGGAGTCTAGGATAATCATTGATCAATTTTAGAATTCCATGTCAGTTGATCTTGAAGAACCCTCTAAAGGGCTGGTAGTTAAACAAATGATAAAAAATTTCGGAGATAGACACATAATAATGCAAATATTTGTCCTGTTCAACCATGTGATGCCTGCACTGTCTTAGTACGAGGCCAAGTTTAATTAATTAAGAATTTACATATTGAAATATGCAGTAATCTCACATCGGATGCGTGTGAATGATTGGATAGTTTGTACAAAAGACGATATGGAATCTCAATTGTGATTAATCTGTAGAGTAAAGTACCCGCATTTGTAGCAAGCATGCACAAATACAATACACTTAGTCATTTTTATGTTCGATTATCTTGTTAATGACCTTGTTTGAACTTGAAGTACATCAGTTAAGACTAATGTAAAAAAAAAAAAACTTTTGCAAGTACATTGTTCTTAGTATAGTACAAGAAAATGGGCATGGCCTCAATATTGATGCCTCTTTTCTTCTCGAGTTACCCTATATTCCGAAACTTCTGAAGACACTTTACTTGGGAGCCAAATTAAGGTCCTTTGGTCTCCTTGTGTTATGTGATAAATGGACTGCATTTAAGCATAAAAGTGAATGCTTGGAACCCCTTTGGATTTTATTCTAGCAAAAGGATCAAATGGATTAGATGGTGGAATTGCATCTACCTGTTTCTCACTTCAAACTCAAAGGATACTTCTTGGATCACAGGCCATATGAAATCTCAATCGGGAGTCAGTGTATGTCTGGATTAAGTGAAAAAATAGATTATATTAATAACTGATATTATATGTATAATTTATTATTGTAATAATTAATTATATGAAATAAGTTTTATGTTTGGATATATTTGGTAAGATGTAATCTTCAAATAATTTATTCTGTTTTGATATATCATATTCAATAATTTTTTTAGAATAAAATTATAAAAAAAGATATGAAATTATATGTAATAGTTAGTTTTATGTTTAAAATAATCAATCATTAAGAATAAAATTAAAAATTATCTAGAAAACAAGTTGATAGATTTTAAACACGAATTCCAAAATTTTGCTTATTTTAAATAAGTTATTTTTTGTAAATAAATAATCAATGATTATACGCTAATTTCTCAAAAACTTTTAACAAAATTAAGTGATATTTAAAAAAATCAAATAATCAACAAAAAATAATCTAATTCAAATACACACTGCTTGACAGTATAAAAATATATAGGTAATTATTTTAATAGAAAAAGGAAGAGGGTCTATATGTAATTTAGTTATTTAGATATTCGTGTTGCAGTTAGCTTCCTCAGAGATTGAGTGATGCTATTTGTACAATTTGCATTTATTATTCATTATATAATTATTATAATCGAATCAATTTGATCAGTTTGGATTATTAAAGGGTTAATTCATCGTTTGAGCAACTCAAAAATTAGTGAAGTAAAAAATTAATTAAAATCAGATAAGAACCAATGTTAAAAAAGATGATTTGAACCAATTTTTTTAAAACACAATAAATCATGTTTTAATAATAAATAGTATTTCGTTTATAAAATTTACATATTAATTAGTAATATGTCAATTTAAAACAAAAAGATAAGTAATATGATTCATTTATATTAATTTAAAATTTTCCTTGACTTAATTTCTAAATTTTATATTAATTTTGTACTTGATATATTATGTAATATTAAAAAAATATACTTAATTAGTATTTATTACACCATAATTCAACTAATAACTTACAAATCAGCATCTTCGTTAATTTACTTTGATTTGAAAAACATTACAAACCTAACAAGTAACGGTTGAATTTCATTAAATTTGCCTAAATTTTAACTAAAATCATTTCCAGTCCTTTAACTTATATATTTTGTATCTTGTAAATTTAGATCGACCTAATAACATTTGGTTACCAGATTCAATAAATTGTCTTTGTTTATTTGTCAAGAATAAATTGTCATTCAGATTCAAGATTAGCATAGAACATTTCAAAACAATTTGGGCTTTGAAATTTGAGTAGCTAAACAGCACACGGTTTCCGGGCTTTCTTGTCTACATAATCACAGTGATATCAGGTTGACCCAGAAAGCCCATTGAT